TTTATCCTCCAATCTCTGCGTCTCTGTTTCAACCCGGCGTGACAGAGTGTCCCTATAATTCCTACATAATCTGTGTGTTTGCCGCTGGGCTGTTTATCTTAGCCGGCCTCGGCCTGTCCTGTTTGTACGAATGTTGAGATAATCGAATGCTTTAACTCACTTAGCCCAAACATCGCTGTGTGGCAAAGGGATGTGTAAACGCCGCAGTCCAGAGGCTTCTGCCGGGGCCCAGAGCAGAGAACAATGCTGCTGATTGGAGGATCGATCTGTTGAGGAGACCCAGTGAGGTCTGGACTCTGTTAGGGTGGCTCTGGTCATCTTTAGGGCAAACGCATTAAACAGTGACTTAGCTTGCGTCCTCTTTGAGGTGTGCCTCTGATGTCAGAGATGGTCTGATTCTCCTTAAAAGAGAGCAAATTCTCCCCTGATTTTTGGGGTTTCTCTGCAGTGAAATGGCGATAAAATATTAAGAAAACTCATCTGGGGCTCACAGATCATGAGATTAGGTAGCAACACCTTTCATGTAACACAGCCTCATCACTTATTCAACCAAAAGTGTGTGTTTGAAAGACTAATTACACTTTTACTGGTTCCATATAAGGTCATAAGGATAAATATTTGGAGTCTACGCTGAGAGGGCTGATAAAGAAATGGTCAGTCTTCAGAGTAGGGGGCGACCTGAAGGGCTCCATTTTAGACTCTGGGGGCCACAGGTAGCATTTTAAAGGTTAAAGGCCGTGGCAGTTGAGGGAGGAAAAGGCCGAACAGGCGTGGCTTGTTTTTTGGAACTGCAGAGAGCCTCTTCCCCTGAAAGGGAAAGGATTCTGGGACAAACCACGGACAGAGCGAAGGTGTTTGGGCAGAAACCAAACACAAACAGCTCAGAGCAGCTGTCAGCACGGAGGGGGAGATATGATGATCTGGGCTGGGTCTGCAGACAACGCTGATCTACTTCAGAGATGGACAGATCTCCTCCAAACCGCCATAGAGGCTGAGATCAGAAAGGTTATCTCTGCTAAAAGTGTTTAAAAGTAACAAACAGGAAGTGTGATGCGGAGCTCACTATCAAGGTCTTTAAGAATGGCAAACGTCTAAAAACAGGGCGGTAAAAAGTCCCATCAGGGAACTTTGTCCAGGAACTCTGATTGCTGAGCGCCTTCTGACTCAGATGGATCGTCTGACCGGCGCTCGCCGCCCAACGGCCGGCGGATTCGCTCTGTTTCTGCTCTCCGTCTGCAGCTCTGAACTTTGTCACGGCGCTCCTCAGCTGTCAGCCCGGACGTTTTTACGGCCGTGTTTGGCTCTTCGGGGGTGACCCTGTCTCAGACCGGAGATCTCGTCTGAGAACAAGCATGTGGCCGGAAACTGGAGGAAATCCAGCTGAATTAGAGCTTTTTTGTCCTCCCTGTCAAAAGAGATGTTTTACGGAGCGTTCGGTTTAATCTTTGCGACCTCCTCCTGACAGGATGTGACCTACTACGAGCAGCTGAAGGCGGGAGTCATCCAGCACGACCTGCTGGTAGACAACCTGATCTACAAGGTGAGTCCGTCGGGGTAGGGTGGGGTCACCCATCTCTGGAGGCTTTTTCTGGACTCTCATCCCGGTGGTTTTTGCGCCCGCAGGACGTGAAGCTGACGGCCAGCAATGACGACTACTACTTCGTGTTTGAGGACTTTCTATATCAGGTGCGTACGTCACTGACAGGATGAAACCGAGGCGCTCAAACGCCCCCCCCCCTAGATTTGACGTCTACGGCTCTAATCCCTCTCTCTGTGAACGAGCCGGTAATTATAGCTTCTGTGAGAGTCACGGCTCTGTTTGCCATCCACACCCAGGTGACACACGATGGAATACTTGGCAGAGGCTTTGCTTTGCAGCTCTCTGCCGGCTCTGCCTAACAATCGCAAGCATCACACACACACAGTCATCCCGTAAATATTGACCGAAACTCAACCGTCAGGCGGAGAATCCACTCATGTCACGACGTTACTTATGTTAGATGGAGGATCGACGGCACGTGAGGGGTGGCCGTCATGGTTCTCCGCACTCTGCCACGCCCCTCCGGCACAAGTCGTCTCATGTTCAGAAATGTAAATAAACCAGCTAAATTAAAACGGATAAAACTCGCCGTCCGGGCCCCGAGTTGCTGCTTTTGCTCTTATCGCTTTCCGTCTTCGTGCAAACAATGACGGCACGCCGTCCCCTAAACTCTGTCCAACAAACACACCTAGACCACCCAGGCCTGAGATTTTGTCTCTGTGGATGCGATAGCTGTAACTGCCGTGTGTAAATATGTGGATCAAGCTGAGCGGCTTCGATTTGTGACTCCGGGTTTTTTGTTTTTTCTTCTCTGAGTTTGTCTAAGAGGGCGTTTGTGCGTTCCCAGGTGCTGCTGTGTTTCTCCCGGGACACGGCCGTCCTGGAGCACTTCAAGTACAACAGCGCCACTCCCCCCAAGTCCTACGTCCACGGTGAGAGGCCGCATCCCTCCTCCCCCCCGCCGGGGTCACAGACTGAGCTTAAACGCTGCCTCTGTGTGTGTGTTTGTGTGTCTGTGTGTGTGCGTTCTGCAGGGAAAGTGGGGGACGAGCAGTGTGCCGTGGTTTACCCCCCCAACGGTGAGTGTGCACTCGCATTTTCACACTGAACGGCTTCACCCGGAGGGGAAAAGCTCACTCCTGTGTGTCATCCCGAACAGGTGTGATCCCCTTCCACGGCTTTTCCATGTACGGTGAGTGTGCGTCTCACCGTTTGGAGCCACACAGCGAGACGATAGAGGCCGCCCCCCTTCATCCGTGCACGTGTTTCCCCCCAGTGGCGCCTTTGTGCTTCCTGTACAACGAGCCCTCCAAACTGTACAGCGTCTTCAGGGAGATGTACATCCGCTACTTCTTCAGGCTGCACTCCATCTCCTCCTCTCTGTCGGTAAGAGCACAGAAAGGCTCCCGTCTCCTCCCTCCTCCCTCCTCCCTCCTCCCCCCTCACGGCTGCACGTGTGACCCCGCAGGGCATCGTCTCTCTGTGCCTGCAGTTCGAGCGGCTGCTCCAGGCCCACCTCCCCCAGCTCTTCTACCACCTTCGGCAGATCGGGGCGCAGCCGTGAGTCCCGGGAAGATGAGCCGGAGATCAGTTAGAAAACTCAGAAATGACGCATTAACTCATTGACTGCCAGCCATTTTCAGAACAGAGAGTCCCATACTGCCAGAGTTTTTTGAGCATTTTGACTGATTTTTCAAGAGCCACAGAATAGTTTGTGCTATGACTATGTAAACACCGAACACACCAAAAGAAAGAGTAGACTCTCTTCTTTCATCAGGAAAAAAAAATTGTTTCTACCTTATTCCGTTCTTCTTCGACTTATGTCTCACCGGCGACATGTTCTCTCATAGCGAACCGTTACCTTTTTCTTATTTGCCTACAATCTATGCTAATCTCCCATCAAAAGTGGGGAGGGTCAATTTGTTAGTACATACTCTGTCTAGAAGCCGATATTTACGGACAAGCTTTAGCAGATCGTCCCCCAGCCACTCTCGTTGAAAAACATAAAAGACGTCTATAATCGTCTTTGGCAGTCAACGGTTGTATTTGAATTTACGTCTATAGACGTCTTTGGCAGCCAATCAGTTAAGATCGGGGCCAGCTACAAAGGTCAGTGCCGGGGCGTGCCTCCTCCCAGGGGTTGCGTGCAGCCTCACAGAGGCTAACGGGCTCCGAAAGCTTCCTCTGACCTTCGTGCAGCATCGTGAAAAGAGAAAGCACCATTTGGAGCGCAGAAGCCTCCGTGTGTGCCGTAAAAAGCCTCCTTTTCCTGCACCGGCAGCTGAAGGCTTGTGGGACGCTGCCCCCTAGTGTTGAACTGCTCAAATTACAGCTTTGTTTAGTTGAGCCTGTGTGTTCAGGAGCAGAGATATGGGGGGAAGTTATTTTTCCCTGCTCACAGATGCTTATCTGGGCGGGCTGTAGCCGTGTTTCTGTGTTTCTGCCCACAGGGTGCGGATAGCTTTTAAGTGGATGGTGCGGGCCTTCTCCGGTTACCTCTCTACCGATCAGCTGCTTCTTCTGTGGGATCGAATCCTCGGATACGACTCACTAGAGGTGGTTGCAGGTATAAAACTGATGTCGAAATCTCACGAGCGGGCCTGTTTGTCCCTTTTCTATCTCACCCCTGGTCGTCTGCCTCTTTTCCTCCTGGCTCGTTCCCGACTCCTCAAGTTCTCGCAGCTGCCGTCTTTGCCTTCCGAGCAGAGAACCTAATGGAGGTGACGTCGCTGGCCTCGGCCGAGGTATGTCTGTCCCACATTAGACTTAAGCGTGTGTGCAGATGTCGCCCTCATACTTGCGGCGCTGCAAATAGACACTAATAACTAGCAAGTAGCAGTAACCCGGTCCCCTGACCGCACACGCGCCCCCCCGGCATGTCCTCCACCTCCCAACAGCACCTGCAGGGCTCCAGTCCACCTGATGCTAGAAATGATGTTTTTGTGTAGATCCGATATTCTGATTTAGTCATAAAATGTTTCCTTTAGGCCCCTCCTGCCTGATTAGGGGGTTAAACCACAACTTGGCGCAGAGGGCAAAGATGCAAGCCGGCACTATTTGCTTGCTCATTTTCCACCTGCCCCAGTTGACAGAAGATATCATAACACACTGCTCCTTATCTTATATTTAGAACCCAGCGCTGAAATATTAAACCCTCCCTCTAAACACGATAGGGTCCCTAATTTTAATCTCCCAGTGATCCCAAAAGGACAGGGTGGGAAGCATGGATTGTCACTTCTGAAGAATCCTGCATCATCATCATCATCATCATTGCACATGTCTCTGAGTTTCTGTTTTAAAATCCTGTCTCCTGACTTGTGTTCTCTCTGACAAACGCGCCGCAGGCCGTCCTCGCCGACCTTTCAACACTTAAGGTTATGCCACTCATCCAGATCTTCCTGTTTGCCACCGCCATCTGAAGAAGGCTGAGACCTCCACAGACAGAGGGGGAAAAATGAAATAAAAAAGCCCCTTCGCTTCGCCATATTCGCACTGAACGCCGCACCCTCATTTGCCAAGAAAACGGGAACCTCCTCGTCTGGTGGAAGCAAAAAAAAGCCAATCTCGTTTAAGCACGTATGCACCATAAACTGTAAATACCCTTAATGATGTTATTAGATAGGATACAGTATGTAAGCGGATCCGCTCAGCCGCGCCGGGATCAGCCGAGCAGCTCGGAACGAGATAAGAAGCAGGAAGGGAGCAACGTTAATGCCTCCCAGCTCGGCTAATGAAGTGTTAATTAACTCCTCCACTTTGTGCAGCTCCTGCTTATTATTACGCTGTTGCCGATGAATGAGGAGATTGGAAGTGCCAGGCGGCTCCGGCATGACAGCAACACGCCATTGCTCACTTCATTAAAAAAAAGCAGCGCACGCTCTGTTTACTGTATTAAGACGGGGCGCCATCGGGCCGCACTCTGAGGGACATTTAGCGTCTCCGGTGCCAATATTTATGCAACTGTGAGAAATTTGAATCATGTATTTAGATTATGCCTCTGTGAAAGTATTCGCTTGTTAAATGCTGCCTGAAAGAGCTCCTTTTAGAAAATGAAATAAAGAGCCGGGGGGCTATTAGTGGCTTTGTGTGGGCCCTGTGTGTTGCTGTCTGGTCTCTCTGAAGTCCTGTGACGGGGGTAAATATTTGGACGGGCCTCCTTGAACTTCAGCAGCCCGCCGCGGTTATGTCTGGAGACAGCAGAGTGGGTGGGTGACATGAAGCCACACGTAGCATCTGCACTATCCCTCGTCCGTTGTGTGTGCACCCTCCTAACCTCCTCCCCCCTCCCCTCCACAGACACACACACACTCACACACTCGGGCTCGTATCGAATTCTGCTGCTCTTCCCTTTCGTCTAACGCCCCCTCCTCGGTTTCGGCTACATCTGCCACCTGTTTGCTCCGACTCCCACGGCTGACTTCTTTTATCAGCCACGCGCCTCCTTTGGCCCCCACAGGCTGTTTCTCCTGAGAGGAGGACCTGCTGTGGGGGGGTGACTCACGCTGCGGCGCCCCCTGGTGACGGATGGAGAACAGTGAGCTGACAGTCTGAACATCAGCTCCACGCAGTTGCTAATAATCTAAGATGTCAGCCTCCGTTTCAATGCATGTTGTAACCCCCAAAAACATGGAGTTTTAGTGAATTTAGTTAGTAAAACTACAGTTTTTAGTCAGATTTTATAAGAATCATGTTCATATACAAGGCTGATATGGTGATAGATGTTCTGCTTTTGCTTAATGCCTTCCAGAAGGCATTTAGTCCAAAATATCTCACTTCAGGGTATTTACCTCATGTAGCAGAGCTCCTTTTATTTACTATGAAAAACCTCAATACTATTTTTTAATAGAAAATTCACTATAGGATGTAAACACAGAAATAAAAGACTGATGGATCTGAATGCTCATTTTAACAGAGGTGACCTATCCCAAATCAGATTATTTGCTTCATGGGTAGTTATTTTGTGGGTTTCTTGCATATGAAATACAAATGTTTTGTTTTTAAGTGTTTTATGTTTAATGCATATTTCTTACCCAATATTTTTAATATATGGTTTTAAACACATTTTAAAGTGTAATATCAGTAATATTGATTAAAAGACAGGTGTTGAATCACGATAGTTGACATAAAAACTCCAGCATTGCCCTTTAACATCCCCCGTATTTTCCGCGCGGAGCATCTTTAAAAGAGACAGAAGAGGGGACGGGAAGTGTCGTGCGAGGCAGCCAATCACAGTCTGCCATGTTGGGACATTCCAGCCAATCGGAAGCCTCGAACGGGAACCGGCGGAGGACGCCAGGCGACGAACAATGAAGCGGGCATCCCGCTCATCCTCCGCCGCCGAGGACAACCGCAAGTTTCGGCCTCCGGTCCGGCCGGAAACACCCGTCACGACTAGGGTTAAAACGCTCACCGTTTATGCTCCCTTTCCGGGATAGAAAAAAGTCGAAAGGACCCCTTTTTTCCCCCCTACGATGCTAGAAAAGAGTTGTTTTCATCAGTTGGAGCTGGCGCGCGCGGTGGCGGTTGAGGCCAAATTGAACTCCCCCCTCCCTCCTTCTCCTTCTCTCTCCCTCCTCCCCCTCGCGTCAAACCGTTTTGCATACCGACTTCCGCCCCGCTCGGCTCCCCTTCCACTGGTCCGCATCTGCCGGCGAGCAGCTGATACGACGCGAGGGACTCGGTCGGTGTCACGTCGAGCCTCGAAACGCTGACTTGGAAACTTCATTTGGAAAGTAGGTGGATGTCGCCACAGCTCGAGGCGCAAACGGCCAGAAACGGAGTAGAAGAAGAAAAAGAAGAAGAAGAAGAAGACGACGAGGAGGAGGAGGAACGTGCGTGTTTTTGATGCGAAATGGGATTAGCTACTTTCTTGTGAGGAGCCGGAATATACGGTGTTCGTGCACTGTGCGTGGATTTACAGGCTTTTTTTTCTCTTTTTCTTCTCTCCCTCCAACTCTCAGCTCTGCGTGGGGATTTAAACACCGATTTTTTTTTTAAACGGATATCTACGGTTTAACAGAAGCTGCTTGTTATTGTTGTTATTATTATTTTGTGTCTGTGTGTGTTTTTCGGTTTGTTTTGGGAGGAAGGGGATTCCTCCAGACATGTGTTGGCCTCGGGCTCGTTTTTATAAGCTAAATTAAATCATTTTAAAGCTCATAAAATCAGATATGGGTGTTCTAACTCCCAGCAGTCGCCTCTCCGGAACAGCCAGTAAAACCATCAGAGGCTGTTAAACTGCTAGTTTTTTCTTCCCCCCCCCCCCACACTCC